AAATACTAAGGGCTTGTATGGGAGAGATTAAAATGGGATTAAAATTGAAAATATAGCCGTTATTGTTGACTTTTATTAGACGGGTGGGGCCCAATAACGGCTATATTTTCAATTTTAATTGGATTTTAATCAGTCCCGAACGGGGCCTAAATGTATTAACCAAATAATTAGTACAGTGTTTACACCCTATTAGCTATGAGCCTTGCTACTTGTACATAATTTGGTGTACATTAAGGTATTCACCCCCTCACATGGGGGTGGGGCCCACTTGGAGAAAATATTTTTTATTCAAGTGGATCTCACCCTCATGTGAGATGGTGGATACCTTGATATACACAAAATTATGTACAAGTAGATAAATTCATTACCTATTCCACTCAAACCATGCTACATCTATAAAGTTGAGTTACAAAGTTGGTTGACAAAATAATATCTACACCAATCATTTTAAAAATAAATTTTTAAATCATTTGAAATTAAAGGTCTGAATTTTGCCAATACACTTTGTAACCCAACTTTTATAACTCAACTTTATACAAATAGCTTTATTGATTCCACTTATGGCATATCATTAAAGCTTGGAGTCACTTTATCAGTGTCATTTTGTATGACATCTTCTAGACTTCTACCATGTTGAAATCATTCCCTTGTTCGTTTTTTTTTTTTTTTAAATATATTTTTCTCTTTTTTTTTGTCAATCACACGTACTTCTGTAAAATAATATTACACGCAACGCAAAAAAAAAAAAAAAAAAATTCTTTCATTTTAACCCTGCATTCTCTATCAATCTACGATTCCAAAATGTATTTTACACAAAAAAATGGGACTCAAACGTGCCCTAAATTTGATCGTGACTTTTTTCCCTAATTAAAATGAGTGGAACTTTTTTCATAAAATTCCTTTTTTTTTTTTTACTATTTTATTTTCAATTTTCCCAATTTTGCTCTAATTATGTGTGATTAAATATATAATACTCTCTTCTCATATGACCTTGGAAGTAGATGCATGCATAACAACATAAATTCAAACCCCCTCAATCTTTCCTCTATTTCATAAGACCCTAAATTTCTTCAATCAAGAACGTGGCAGGACCACCTTCTATTGGTTCCAGATTTCAACCCACCGACTCAGAACATAGGAAGTTTTAACCTTTGACAATTTCAAATTTTCATAGTATTTGTTTGTTTATTTTCATGAGTTTTCAAGTTTTATTCTGAATATGAATTTAAGAAATTTTCTTCATTACTGCAGCCTATATGGTCAACTGATCAATCTCTCTTGTTTACTGAGTCTAGTTCAAAGGCTACTAGTTCAAAGGCTACGTTATGCGCTGAATCAAGCAAAAATTTTAAAAGCGTCGGAATAATCGAACTGTAGGGGCCTTGATTGAAGAAACTCGTGATATACAGACGTACACTTTCTCCAAGCAGCCTCGTGTGGGAGGATTTCATACTGAAAATTTGCACGGAACATGAACTGAAGGAAGAAGAAGTCTTGGAAGATGATCCATGGGCTATTTAAGTGGTGGACTGGCTTTATCAGTAGCTACGCCCCTATTGGGTGCACTTTTTTGCTCCAAGAATGTATTTTTTGATTGATGTGATGGAAATATGTGGTTAAAAAAGAAAGAAAAGTTATTGATGTGATGGAAAATATTATTTTATTAAAAAATATGTGAATGAAAATTAATAGAAGATTGAGAATGAAAAAAATATATAGTTCGAACAGGGGCTAAATACAAATTTTCAATTGTGGAAGTAATTATTGTCATATTTTCAGTTTTCTATTTTTATTTTTTTATTTTTTTGCATTTGAAAAGGAAATAATTGGACCTAGCCATGTATACAAGTTTTTGTTTTGATAAATCACGTATTTAAATAATTCAAAATATTGGTAAATTCGTTATTAATTATTTTGTGATCATTTTAAGCGAGATATACATAGAGAAACAAGAGTCTACAATTTGCGAAACCCTTCTTCTAGGGGTGGCTTGGCTCGACCCTAAGCTCGTGGGCTTATAGGCCGAATCGAGCCGATTCCATGAGCTTTAAAAAAGCTTGTGATTGGTTACTTTTAATATAGGTGGTGTTAAAATTGTATATGAACAACTTGTTACATATACAATTTTTAAAAGGTGAATGATATGAAGAGTGTTTTACTTTCTACCAATTGCAGTGTACTTTTAGCGTATCTCACTTTCAATTTCATCAAAATGTGAACGTGACCTATGTTTTGTTGTGACTCATGGATTTAGGATTTTTGCGTATATAATATCTCTTGAAAGGAGCCTCGAATTCCCTCACATCTAGTCATCTAGATCGTTAGTCACAATATTTGGTAAGAGACAATAAAGAATTCGCATAATTAGAGTATCTACAAGAGGCTCTTTAAACATAAGAAACTTCCAATTTTAAAAAGTCAATTCTTGAAATCATACTCCAAAAAACTCTTTAAATTAATATTCTGAAATAGAGAGTGATCCACTTTGCC